TACTCTAAAGCGACGTGTAATTTTCACGCTACAATTCAAGTAGATGAAATTTGTCCCAGTCATGACTTGTATGAACACCATGATGGCAGCGGTTTGGCTCAAGACGACGCTACTTTTCGCTATTCTTACCCCTACGTCGGCCTTAAAGTAGAAACAGGAGCTTGTAGCGGGTTCAATGATGCATGAAAACACAATGATACTGAACACATTTGCGAGAGAGCTGCTTACATTTCAAAGAAGCTGTCAAAACTGACAGGCTCTTTAACTGCGCGGTTGCCGTGGAGACGAAGCCGATACTGGAGAGTGGCGCTGGAGATGCAGACGGAGAAACCCAGCGATGTGCGAGTGAAAAAAAAAAAAAAGGACCGGAGGAAAGAAAATGTTGCAGCAGAGGGAGAAGAAAGTTGAGAAATTGAATCAAGTATATCAAAGAATGTGTGAAAGGTCCAGCAGTGAATTAGTGTAGCTAGTGGAGCGTGCAAGGTGGTGCATACATAATCACCTCGGAAGACTGAAAGTGAGGCTTTTAAACATTCAGCTTACTGTGTGTGTGAGTGTGTGTGTGTGTGTGAGCAGCAGCTGCAGAAGGCCCTCCATTAGCATGCTGGAGGTGGTTATGTAAACTGTCATGCTGTTAGACCCGACTGAATGTGGGAAGTTGAGCCCCCCGAAAACAGAGGCCTCTGTCTTCATGAGAGCAACTTCAGTGGTTGTGATTGATTTTCTCTCCCCCCCCCTCCTCCTCAGCGTGTTTGATTACCACTGTGAAATGATACAGCTCAGAGGAAATGCTGCGGCTGTCTCACTTGGAATAGTCGATAAAAAAAAAAATGAATTGCATTATGTCTGAGTCTGTTGCTGTCAGAGCTGCAGCTGCATAACACAACATCTGAGAGTTTGTTAAGCTGCAGTCAGTTTAGAAATGACAAAAATGTGTGGAGTGTTTTAAAATGCATAATGAACAAGGTGCAAGTGGTTGAACTTGCCCATACATAGCCATAAGAAGTTGAAGTGGGTTCGCCTTCACTGGATCCATTTGCATTTGTATTAGCTTAAGCAGATAAATATTTCAGGAGTTAAAGTGGGTTTAAAATGAGAATCATTCATGCACATACATTCCAAAGCATTCAGTGGTATCTTTAACTCAACTTTTTATTTTAAACATGTTGGGCAGACAACGTGCAGAATTTGAGCCTAATAAAAAATCGAGAAGAGCAACAGTCCCACGTCCTCCTTGTCTTTCGCTAGAATCAAAGCAATTTTTTTCCATGAAACACAAACTAATGAAGAATTCACTAGTTTTTTGTGGATTTAAATGTAATCACCTGCTGTCAGGTCACTTGTAAGCACTCTTGCATTTCGTCAGTCTTTTACTTGCTGGAGCACAAACGCGACTCAGTGAAACGCTGGAACACTAAGTGAGTCCCCGGGGCGCAAATTTTCTGTTTTCAGTCACGGTTACTATATTTGTAGTAAAAGCAAAAAACATGTGGGCAGTAAGACGGAACAGAGATGAGCCAACGAGTGCTAATATTTTTGTCGAAGCTACATTGCAAAGCTAACTGTCTCCTAGATTTGATTAAACCAATAACAGAAATACTGTCTGTATGTCAATATTGCATATTTATCCTTTTTTAAAAATTAAAATAATCCCTTCATGGCTTAAAAAAGGCCTTAGATGTAAGTGTACGCTGTTGCTTCCTCGAGAATGTGCACATCCATGTTCTAGTTGCTGCAGATCGAGCACACCAGCTCACCTAAGCCGCTGCTTAAACACTGTAAAACTACTTCAGGCTTCACAATGACAAGTTGTTAATATTGGAGTAATTTATAATAATAATAATAATAATTCATTTTATTTGCATAACGCTTTTCAAGAACTCAAAGACGCTTCACAGGATAAAAGCAAAACAGCAATAAAAGCATTAAACAGCAAGCAACAAATACAAAGGTAGACAATATAGAAATACAGCAAGCAGAAGAAAAAAAAAAGAAAAAGATAGAGCCGAGGCCTAGGTGGGAAAAGCGGAGCGGAACAGATGAGTTTTTAATTTACATTTGAATATTACTGGGTCTGAGGTGTCTCGAATATGTTGTGGGAGAGAGTTCCAGAGGGTGGGGACGGCGACAGAAATTTAGCGACATATTTTTGAACTGGAAACTGATTTCCGAAGAACAATGATACAGAAGTAGTAGTAATTGTTTATTTCATTCAATGACAAAAAAAAAATAAAAAATTCAATACGATATGAAACAAAAGTTTCCAACTTCTGGATGAAAAGGGAGCAGAAAGAAGAATTAACTTATGTGATTTGCCCCTTTATAACAAACAATCAGTTACAATAAGTATTAAAAACAAACAACAAACAAAATGACTATGAAGTCTGAAAGGCCTGCACAGCCACTCTCACTATCTTAAGTTTTCCTCACATAACACCACTAATAACTAATGACACACTCTCTTAAACTCTCACCCCACAAGTTAACCTGGTCAGTGCCTTTGGTTTGTGATGTGTGAAACCCTGGCTGTCTGGATCTGTGTTTTTGTTGTCAGTACACTACAGTTGCTCAATGGAACTGCTTAGCCATGATGTTGACTGCTTATTTCAATCATGACATGTGTTCTAGCCTGTAAAAAAAAATCATCTGGATATGTTTAAAGGAAACAAACAAACTAGGATCTCACAAATAAACCCCTTCGTAGGAAAAAAACTAAAAAACCGTGCAGTTAGAGCTGCTGTGCAAATGTTTGCATTTGTCTTTTTAGCCTCGAACGAGAGATGTAAGTGTCATTTTCGGTCTGATCCAGAATCTGTCTCCTCCTGTAGGTGTTTGCCACCTACCCCAACGAGGACTACGACAGGCGTAATGAAGACGTGGATCCCATGGCAGCATCTGCCGAGTACGAGCTGGAGAAAAGGGTGGAGAGGCTGGACCTGTTCCCCGTGGAGCTGGAGAAAGGTACTACGAAGTCTTGCAAAGCTCACTTTCTCTTCCCAGTTCTCCAAAAACGATTCCTGTAAAAGCTGTAGAAATAAGCAGTTACAGTACTTTAAACCGCTCGAGGCACCAGGTGGCTGGTAATGGGAAGCAGAGTAATTTCATATTCATAGGAAGAGCATTTGAAAGAATGACCTCACACTGGACGCTTCGATCATGTCTTTCCGTCTATATCTTCAAAGAAGAAGGCAGAAATCCTACATTTAGTTATGTAAAAAGGGCCTGCAGTGTTCACCAGCTGCCTTCTGCCAGCCATCCTGCTTCCCACAAGGCAAAGTAAGTGCAGTGGTGCAAGTTCTTCCTCCCATCTCTCCCCAGTGAGCCACAACATCCCTTCAACATTATGGCGCATTAATATATGTATACAAGGCTATATTTAGAGTTGTGTACAGAGCAGGTTACATGGGATGCCATATGTGTCCATGTACAGTAAATAATGTGCTGCTGTGCGTCTGCATTAATTTAATCACGATAAAAAGGAGAAGCTGCAGTTAGAAAGGAACTGCGCTCAGACAATGAATATGCAACTTCAGCACATCGCACCTCAGGCAGGAAATCCAGGTGTTACATCGATTCGGATCTAACTTTCAAGTCACACTTACTAAAATAGCGTTTTATTGTTTCCAGACCACATGAAGGTCTTTTTTGTCCTCGAGATGCAAAGAAGCTTGTGCGTGCTTTTATTGCGGCTATAAATCAATTACAGCTTTGCACAGAATGCTGATGTCTGTTTTTAAACTCTGCAAAGAAGAAAGAAAAAAAATAAAAGCTCACATTATTCCTGATCAGTTAGTGTTGATTCAGACCTGGTGTTATTAATCCAAGGCTGTAGACACTTCTGCCTCATTACAATAGAGAATGATCACCTTTCTGTTTTTGCTTTCTGAAAGTTTAACTCTTTAAATTGTCTGTTCTATGTTGTTGTCATAGTTTTATTTTGAAGTCATGCCCTATGAGCTGCAGTTTATTGTTAAGCCTTGATCTGCATAGTATTATTAGAGTGTAATCATTGAAAGAGGAGGAGTTTTTTGGCCACTATTAGTGCTGTGGAGCAGTGTTTTTTCTATTTTTTATTTTAGGGGCTCACTGGTCTGTTTGTGTTGTGCACGAGGACGCAGGTTCATGAATGCAACCATGTGGGGAATATACATTCTGCTGCTGGTTTCATGCTGTTCTGCCAGAGACAAAGGCATTGCTTCTGTGTTATTGTCAAGTTAATTTAAGTCCAAATTATGTTTCTATAAACTGCTTTGGAGCAAAAAAAAAAACTAGGCAAAGCTAATTAATGCAGTAGAAGAAGCTGAGAATGAAACGTGGGGAGGTGTTCTAATATGTACCAATACTACCATACAGTATAGTACGCCTGAGAAAGATGTAGCATGTCCCAGTACACAATGTCTCAAAAATAGGATGCTAAAAATACACTACAACTACATCCTGTTGAATTTTGCCGTGTGCGAGCCAGCGTGTTTTTCTGGCTGTTTTTACCCAGAATCCTCTGTGCAGTTACATCACATATGTCACGGTGTCTTGTGCAAGGTTAAACAAGCAGTAAAAAGAAAAAAAAGGTTGTGAGAAAAATCGTCAAAGTAGAACAAACCAAAAACTTTTTGGGTTTTTTTTGGTTTGCTGTTGTTTCTCATGACCGTCATGTACAGCACTTTGTTTCAGCTGTGGCTGCTCTAAAGTGCTTCATAAATAAAATTGATTTCAGACAGGACACTTTGTCAGATTTAACCATTTATTTGGGATCACATACATTTAGTTTGGCGGTGACTCTGCTCGTGATGCTCTGGAACAATCTGAGGAAGCATGACACAGATAATCCCTGAGATCACAAACCCCCGCAGAGCCATGAATTTACAATTTACAATTTTTAGAATACAATATGAACACGAGACCAACTAAATAGTCTTCACTAACAGAATCTAGATTACATAGTTCAAGGTACAATGATGAACCATCTGCAACCCACAATCCCTCGATATGGGAAACACCGGGGTTATATGAGATTGAACAGTTTTTAAAAGGTGGTGGTTGGGGAGGAGGAGGAGATTTATCGATCTGCAGAGGCTGGAGTAGCAGCGATGTGGTGAGCGTGAAGCGGGCAGAATGAATGAACGCTGCCTCAGTTATAAAGCACGCTAAGTGGGTGGGCTGGACTTTAGCGATGACGATTGGACAGGAGGGGCCATGTGACCACCTGACTCCGTGCTTGTCTGAACTAACGCGAAGCTCCATTTGATTAAACTTTTGACACCATTGAGAGAGAAATGGATTGTTTTAAATCAGGCAAGTTGTCAATATTGTTTCATGGCACCTCGATCAGTCATGGAAGTTGAATATTTGTTAAATCAGAAGTTATTTGGAAAAGGTGTTCTGGTCACCATTTTTAAAAAAAAAAAACCTACTTCAAGTGTAATTATTATTTTTTAAAAGCTCTGCACGTTTTAAATTTTTCATTTACTTTTTTTTTTTTTTTTAAATTTGCTATTTCCACCAACATTTTCTAATGTGATTCTCCAAAATGCAAATAATAAAATGTAATGGAAACATGGCATGTGAAAGAGATCAAAATTAATATCCTGATTCCTGCACAGCAAACTAATAGTTAGCTATTCGGGTCCAGCCCTAGTATGAAAATACACATTTTCAATACTCCAGGTCATATTTGCGATTTGCCATCTTGCGTCCCAACATCAACACAAACTTAAAATGAACGTCAAACAAACTATGGTTACCATGCCTGTCAAAATAAACGTTTTTTCAAAATAAAAAACAAGTCCAACCTGAGACACACATTATATATTATTTATTTTTGACCAGCTGTCTGCGACCCATCCAGAACAGGTCCGCGACCCACTTTTGGGTCGCGACCCACCAGTTGAGAACCACTGGTATAAGAAGAAATAAATGCACTGTGAGGCATTTTGAGTGTGTTTCAGTGAGTAATGTTGAATTAAACTTCCACAGGGCACCTTTGATTGAGTCTCATCTGTGATAAAGGGAACGGGGTCCTTATGCCAGAGGTTCATGTCATAGATTATTATTAGCAAACGTGTAGCCGGCTCACTATAACGTGGTCACATAACAAATTAAATTGATCAAAACCTGTTAGATATGGATGACAGTTGGGTAACAGCTCGTCTGCTCTCTTTCAGATGGCGATGGCCTGGGAATCAGTATCATTGGGATGGGTGCAGGAGCTGACATGGGCCTGGAGAAACTGGGCATCTTTGTCAAGACGGTCACAGAAGGAGGAGCGGCACACAGGGATGGCAGGTAAATTAGATCAACCTGATCAAAAAATACAACTCAAACATATCGGGTCAAACTGAAAAGGCCTTTGCTTCATGAACTCGTACGTCATCCTGAAGTTAGCTCAGTATTTGTAGTTTTATTTCCTGGAGTGGATGCTTCATTGTCCCGCTCGCTTATTTTGATTCTTGGCAGCTGCAACTTGGTCTCACTGCCAAGAACAAGGGCTTATAAATGGAGTTTGGCTTGCGTGGGCTAAAGTATAAAGAGAACCAACAAAGACCACAGTGGTGTTATTTCTGCAAACCTCTACTCTGTCTCCTCCAGGATCCAGGTGAACGATCTGATTGTGGAGGTGGACGGGACCAGTTTGGTGGGCGTCACCCAAAGCTTTGCCGCCTCCGTACTCAGGAACACCTCAGGAACCGTCAAGTAAGAGTCACTCTGAATGCTCAGGTTTTCGTTGGAACTTCTTTTCCTCACATTTACAGTTACACAAATCATCCAGTGCAATGTTATTATTTTTTGCCACTTAGGAATGGCAGCGTTGGTCTGTCAGCTAGGGGTCAACCCATATGTTTTAAGCAACACTAATTATGAGTAATTAAGGAGAGCAGTATCTAATATTTGAAACTGATCTACATTATTAGTAAAAATAACTAGGGATGTCCTATATTGGCTTTTTTGCCAATATCCGATATGCTGATGATGTCCAACTTTCAATTTCCGATTCTAATATCAACCAATACGGATATATGTGTGTTACTGCAGCCATTCTTGTTTACACGCTTCACGACGCAGTTTGATGTTGTCATCATTTGCTTGCCGGCGAAATCCAGGCATTATTTTATTGGTTTTCATTATAGGCAAAAATAACCAAAACAATAAGGATATTGACAGATATTACATTTTTATGCCAATGTCAGGCTGATTGTATCGGTGGGCTGATTTAAGCAAAACTCTGCTGAATGTTGTTTGTTGGTTTTACTTTCCAATATTTGTCTTTTAGTGTTAAAAGGCTAATGTTGGTGATGCTTAACCACAGACTGAGAACTACAGATAAAGAGAGGTTGCTGCACCGGAGCCAAATCAATCAAATCAATCACATCACATCAAATCAAATTAAATCAAATCAAATCAAATCAGGTCTATTATCATTTTGCTGTACATACACAGTAGTACAAGCAAGATGAGAAAGCGTTTCTTCAGGATCATAAAAGTTTTGCGGAATGCACGTCTGGGATAGCAAGACACTAAACGTTCATTCTCGCTGCCTCCTGAAGGGGGCGCTGCGTCCATATGCATATTTGTTGAATATGGCGAACCCCTTCAGGTCCTGGTAGGTCTTCAGGGACACAAAGACACATACGATGGTGTGACGATGGTGAAGCCGCAGATGCTGCCCAGAGCTAGCTGTCTGTCCGTCCGTCCTGAACGATGTCATCCCCTCCAGCTGTATGTCCATCTGGGATGTTGCCATGGAGCCATGTTTCTGTTAAAGCAAACACACAGCAGTCCCTCCACTCTCTGTGGGTTTCTCTCAGCAAACGTAGTTCGAAAATCTTGTTGTCGAGGGAGTGGACATTGGAGAGTAGGAGGACGGTCCTGCTGGTCTGGAGTGGTTAGCCTTTAGCATGGATCCCGGCTCTCTTCCTCCTCCTTTGTTTACGTTGGTACTGTTTGCGCTTCCTTCTCTCTCGGGTATCTACCGGTGTATTCTCTGATTGGACTCTGTGTTGGTGTAGAAAGTCCAAATCACAACCGATCGCCGCAGTTTCAGCGCCGTTCACTGTCCTGATGCCCAGCAAAGTCTCCTGGCTGTTTTGCGGAATGAATGTCTGGGATAGACAAGACACTCAAAACATTTACTTTTGTTGTCTCCTGAAGGGGTCGCCGCTCCATCACCATGGCATCGTAGAAAAAGTAGAGCATCTTTAAATGGACTGATTTTATTGGGAATCAGTTTAAAAACACTACCAGTAATCAGAAAAACACTGACTATTAGATCTGATAGTAGGCCATACCAACTCTTGGTCCACCACTTTATTCTAGGGATGGTAATGATTACTTAGCACTGTGGAAGTTTAGCTTTAAAGTGTCACCTGTGACGCTTAATGCCTACCAGAACTCTTGTCCTGTTGACATGCTGCATGAACTAGTGGGTGATTGTCAGTGCTCTAGGTTTAAGCTGTTGTGACAATGGTTTTACACATTTTTGTGTGACAAGCACGTTTTTGGATCTCGGTAGTCAATCAATCAATCAATCAATCAATCAATCAATCAATCAATCAATCAGACTTTATCTGTATAGCACTTACAACAAATACTACATAATGAAGGCTATCATAAATAAATGCAATGTTAAACACCAGTGAAGAGAAAATGTTAAAATTCTGAAAAGCAAAAACGATTGATGATGTTTTGTGACATTTTAAATCTATTACACAGCAAATATTGAACTTTAAGTTAGACTTTTAACAAATTGCATAGGAAATAAAATTGCAGTAAATGTCGCAGTTAGATATTTTCCCCAAATCATTCAGCCCGACTCTAATCTGCTAAACGTGAGGCACTCCCATAAGACGAGGCTATACTTTGTGCTTAGTGATGTTAACAAAGTAAACAACGGAGGGCACTACCTGATAAACATCATCACTGCGAGCATGGCGACCTGCTTATGGTAACATTCACTCACTCGCTCATCACTGCATTTATTTTTGCAGTCACCGTCTTGTGGGTTTCCGAATGCCTTGTGACCAGTGCATGTGTTTTGCTTCGCTTTCTGTCGGTGCAGCTTTACACTGACATCCAGCATTCTTCCTCCAAGAGATGGTTTCCTTTTGATATATGCCCACAGCCCGTCTTACACGCGGGACAGACTCCACCACATCCTGCCCATTCACTTCACCAGACTCTAGATTTATATCTCAAGTCTCACAGGGTCATGATTATACCCTTCAGCGTTGAAAAGCTCCTTTCTGGAGACGCTCTGAATGAGATTCCACAGGAGGGCCGCAGAAAAACACAGTTATCAGTAACAAATACAGTTGGCATCAAACTTTTCAAAATGCCAAAGGGCTTCTCGGAGCCTCCGCTCTTTTGGCGTTTGGACGGCTGCTCCCGCTCCTTTTGTCAGCTGAGCTCATTCATAATTCAGGGTTTTGGTGGTCAGCGCTGTTGGGATAATTGTTAGTGTTGTGTGACTTGTGAAGATCAGAGACCTCCATAGATAACTCATGCATTATGGATCTGCTGCAGTGACGGTGAAGGGCAGTAAGACCTATTCATAAAAAAAAAAAGGCAGACAAATAGAGCAGGACAGGATGTGTGTTCGCGGACATTTAATTACCCCGTTAGCGCTGCAGAAATTGAAAGGCTGCAGTGGCTGGCTTAATAACCGTCTGTGGCTTTGTCATGATTCACTGTGCTTCTTCTCCCTGTTTACTGTTTGCTGTAATTGGACGGAGATTTGCGAGGCTCAATCAGGAAACTATAATGAACTGCACGATGAGCTGAGAGGGAGGCAGGGTTGAGGGTTTGATTTCTGAACAGGCTGCAGAGGAGGCCTGTAAACAGGAAGCCATTTTCTTCCATTAGAGTTGCATTAATACATTACGCCGTATCGTCTCAAGGAGCGGCAGGTTATATGTGCAAACACACTCTGCAGGAGCTGGTTTTCACGCTCCTCGGAGGCCGGCGTGCATTATTCAGCGTATAACAGATTAACTTTAGTTCTGCAATTTGAACCAAGCTGATGAATGTCCGCACGCAGGTTTGTGATCGGGCGAGAGAAGCCGGGCGAGCAGAGCGAAGTGGCCCAGCTCATCCAGCAGACCTTGGAGCAGGAACGCTGGCAGCGGGAAATGATGGAGCAGCGCTACAACCAGTACATGGACGAACAAGAGGTCAGTGTGACAAATTAGCGGTGTTGGGATTTCTCTCTCGAGTCAGTGGAGAAGTGAAGGGTTGCTAATAATCCAGCTTCCTCTTCTCCCATCCCCCCTACACTTGCATGTGCACACACGATGCTGCAATCAAATTAACAGAAATGTTTTCGGGATACTTTCTTGCACTCACTAGTTTGTGATCTTGCACCAGAATGTGTTTAAATTCGAATAAGAATACACAAAACGGAGCACATAGATCACTAAATAACTAAAATAATGTAACTTTCTACTCTGTCCAGGCATAAAATACTTCTTTAGAATCAAAAGCAGTGTTTTTTGGAGTCCTTGCTTGACCCTGTACGTTCTTTCCCCCCCTCTTCAGGATTATGAAATTTATCTCAGCCCCATCATGAACAGCATTGACCATCCTTTTTTGTGATGCGTGTGTGTGTGTGTTGTGCGCTTCTGGCGAAAAGCCACACCGTTAAATCCCGTCTGTACTATCAGCATGATCAAACAATAAGCTGAGCTCCGAAATGGGGACAAATCAGGATGATTCAGATTTCGCAGCCTCGCGCACAGCTTTGCTTCCATAATCGAGTCCAGGGTTTTTGTCCGGTTGAATGTTTTTTTACGCTAGCGGTGTAAAGGTGTGCTCAGAAACTGGCCTTTTGGTTTCACTGCAACAACGGGGAGGAAGTTGCCCCATTCATGAACATGGTGAAGGGTGGGTGGTTCTTGAAAAGCATTAAGTTGTGTAATGGAAAGCATGATGAGCGCTTGAGAATTTAGCACCACCTAGTGGTCATTTGGTGTCACTACAGGGAAGTAAATAGTGAGAAAATCACTTTGTCTTGCTGTTTCTTGTGATATTTAAGCAAATAATTGAACAATAAATGTCTTTTTTTCTGTCATATAAATCATATATTTCCAAAGACCTCTTGGAAACCAGTAATCCATGTATTAAAACAAACTGTTAACATTACAGGCATTATAAAAAAGATTTAACTTCATTCTGGACTTGAACTGTTGTGTCAGTGGTTTTGCAAATTTTTGCCTCTCTGTGTGACAATCAATCAATCAATCAATCAGGCTGTATTTGTGTAGCACTTAGATAGAAATATAACAAAGAACAATGAAGCTGTTGTCATAAATAAATGCCACAGACATCTCCAAAGACCTTCAGTAATCCATGTGTCAAAACAAACTTTTAACGTTAGAGATATTATAAAAAGATTCAAATTCAGCTTTCTGTGTCTTTCTTTTTCGTTTTCTTCGCCTGAAAAAAACCCTTTTTCCCCCTCACGTCTACTAATTCTTATTATCTGGTCAGCAGAGCCTCTGATATTTATCAATGAAAGTTCTGAGTTATCAGCATCTGACATTTTTGCTGTCACCTCCCTAGAAAAAAAGCCAGATGGAATTTCATAATGATCCTAAAAAAAAAGTTAATAATTAATCAGCGGGTTTTCCCAGAAATACTCCACAGAACATTGTGCACTCTCGACCAAAACTCCTCAAAGCGTTTCTGACCTCGACCCCTTCTCTGACCCCTTGCAGGGTGGAGAATACGGCACAGATGAAGAAGAGGATGACGATGAAGAGGCTAGCCCTCCGTATCCCAGCGCCATCGAGGTGTTTGACTTGGCAGAGAACGAGGACATGTCGCCTCTGGAGACGGACCCGGAGAAGCTAGCCCATAAATACAAAGAGGTGAATCCCTAAACTGGAGCATTTCTTCTGTAATCACAGCCCGTTGCCCCTGATGTAGCTAACGTTAACACGTGTGGTTAAAATCGCTTCTTTTCCAGCTCCAAATAAAGCACGCTGTGACCCAGGCTGAGATCCAGCAGCTGAAAAGAAAGGTACGCTGTTTAATTAAGATCATGATTGTTCTACACGATAACGTTTGTTTACGTGATTAAAATGGACGCTTCCCTCCAGCTGCACCACGCCGAGCAGGAGAAGCAGCGCTGGCGTATGGATAAAGCCCAGCTGGAGCAAACCCTGCAGGAGAACAAGGAGCGAATGGAGAAGCTGGAGGGCTACTGGATGGAGGCTCAGAGCTTGTGCCAGGCGGTGGACGAGCACCTGAAGGAGACGCAGGCCCAGTATCAGGCCCTGGAGCGCAAATACAGCAAAGCCAAACGCCTGATCAAGGAGTATCAGCAGAAGTAAGATGCTTTCAATTACACACAGGAATGCTGAGAGAGCCGTGTGACGTGTTTGAGCTCAACACTGCCATTCGTTTACAGGGAGATCGAGTACCTGAAGAAGGAGACTCAGCGTTGTGCACAAGTCGGGGCTGAAGCCTCCCTTCTCAAAGAGGAGTCGGGGCAGCTTCAAGAGCAGGTATGGATGGGAGCCTGCACGAGGCTACATGGCTGGTGTGTGGTTCCCTTACAGTCGATTCACTTGGTACAACACATATAGGATGGGATATCACACCCCGCGTGACCTTACTGAAGACACCTGTAATCACGCCTTCACGGCAGATGATCTGTGATGACATATGTGAGGCCCTGCCTACACATATAAACACCTGTCATCACAGGCATCCCTCAGTTCTTACACTCTTCACCTCACTAAGAACACCTCACGGGCTCACTAGCTACCACTAGTTAGTTCTGCTTTCTAAGGCTACTGCCGGCTTGAAATTGGTTTAACTGCTTTTGTTGGTGTTAGCCACCGTAGTGAGTGTGACTGCCCGCCAAACGCTGATTTTGAGTTTTCTTGCTAAAGTCGCGTGCTTTGTGTCTGGATAGAAGCACCAAGCCTTAGTCGAGGTCTTCAGTTCGCTCCTGTCCACAGGGGTGCATCAAAGACCAGCACGATGAATGAATGCCTAGTACTGCCGTTCAGGACGTCACTCGCCCCCCGCACCTTCAGCAAATGTGTCGAAGCGGCATTATCTCCTCTCTGGGCGTTCACATCTCAGCGTACCTGGACGACTGGGCTCTGGTAGCCAGCTCCAGAGAGCAGGCAGAGACACAGCTGTTGGTAGTTCTGTCACACATTCAAACGCTGTGGTGAATTTCCGGAAAAGCTCGCTAATCTCGAGCCAGCAGTTTTCTTTTCTCGGACTGGAAATATGCTCCGTTACCAGCCGAGCACGTCTGTCAGAGCACAGGGTGGCTGCGTTTTACCGCTGCCTCGCTCAGTTTCAGTTGGGACGCAGACCGATTTTGCAGCTGGCTGGCATGATGGCGTCTGTGATCGCTGGAGTGCCGCTCGGGCTGTTGCGGATGCGAGATGGACCTGCTCTCACCTGCTGTGTCCGTCACGTCACCTCCAGACGAGGCTGAAGATAACACCGTCCTGCTTGCTCGCTGTCCGCCCGTGGAGGGAGCCCGGCCTGCTGTGTCAGGGCTCCCTGATAGGCAGGGTGTCTTTTTACAAGGTGGTGTCCACAGATGCCTCTCTGAAGGGTTGGGGGCTCTGTGCGACGGTGAGAGGGGTCTGGTCGACAGCTCAGTGCAGACTTCACATCAACCACCTGGAGCTGCTAGTGGTTTTCTTAGCTCTGCAGTATTTCTGTCGAGATCTGACGGGCCAGCATGTTCTGATCAGAACAGACAACACAACGGTGGTTTCTTATATAAACAGGCAGGGAGGAACCTGAGAATGGAGATTACACCCACAGGTGGTGGCTCAGATATGGGAACGGTTCGGCAAGGCAGAAGTGGATCTTTTTGCATCCAAAGCGAACATGCACTGCCCTCTGTTCTTTTCCATAACAGACCAGAGTGCACCACTGGTCATGGATGCACTCGCTCACCCATGGCCCAACGTGCTCCTGTATGCATTTCCCCCAGTGGAACTGAGACTGCCTGCACTGGAGAGGGTGCATCAGCAGGGCCTGTCCATGATCCTGGTGGCCCCTCAGTGGCCAGCGAAGTCATGGTACACAGAGATAATCAGTCTGCTGGCAGCGAGGCCCTGGTAGCTCCCTGTCTGCAGGGATCTCCTCTCTCAAGCGAGAGGAGAGGTGATTCACTCGCCCCCAGAACTGTGGCGGCTGCATGCCTACCTGTTGAAAGGTCCAATTTATTAGCGAAGGACCTGCCCCCTGAAGTGGTGGCAACAATTCAGAGTGCACGGGCGTCATCCATGAGAGGTCTGTATGCATATAAATGGTGGGCATTTGAGCAGTGGTGCCAGAACTGTAATGCTCTATTGTGGACGTTTTGACTTTTCTTCAAGAGCTGCTGGATAAGGGTCTCTCCTCCACAATAAAAGTTTATTTAGCAGCTATATCTGCCTGTCACGTTGGTTTTGATGGTGTGACGCCAGACGCTCATCCTCTTGCTATGCGCTTCTTAAAAGGGGTCTGCCGGCTGAGGCCCGCGTTAGATCCAGCGTCCCTTCATGGGATCTGTTACTGGTGCTTGAGGCCTTTTGTGATCCTCCATTTGTACCTATTGAGTCTGTTGATATGAAATTTCTTTCATACAAGACTGCTTTGCTTCCCGCTTTCTGCTCTGCAAAGCCAGTAGGCGACCTTCATGCCTTGTCGGTGCATCCCTCTTGTACCCAGTTCTCCTGCGATGGCTCCAAGGTTACAATACACCCAAATGTGGCGTATTAACCAAAGGTCATCCCTGCAGCTTACAGCTCTATGGCCCTCGAGCTCTTGAGCTTTTGCCCCCCTCCTTTTGCATCTGAGCAGCAGAGGAGGTTGCATTCGTTGTGTCCTGTGCGTGCTCTATACACCTGTATTGACCACACTCAGATTATGCGTTCATGTGACCAATTATTGGTCTGTTTTGCTAATCCAGCCAGAGGTAAGGCCCTGTCCAAACAGCGGCTTTCTCACTGGATTGTGGAAGCAATTTCCCTGGCCTACGGCGATGTTGGCCATTGATAGTGTGCTGACCGGCATTTTTGCGATAAATTCACATTCTACTAAGTGTATTTTCCAAAACAAATAAATAAAAACTACCTTTTTTTCCCCTTTGTTTGTGTAGTGATACATCGCTCTGCTTCTAATAAATATATAAATCTGAATTATTATTTTTAATTTTAATATTTCCGCTTACAGATTTGTCTTGTTGTCATTTCGACAAGCTCCACATATAGCAAAGTTTAAAAAAAAAGTCTTAACACTATACAAAATTTGTCAGAAATCTACGGAGATGCCACCAGCCCTCCAATGGCTTTCTCCTACGTGTGACATTCTCGTTTAATCTAATGCATGATGGCGCGTATTGTTTGGTGAGTGACCATGTGCTGTACTTTTCACGTTGCATTGTGGGATGCTTCACCATGTCGTATGTAGAGGCTGATTTTACATTCTGTTCTATCCTAAAGCTGCAGCTACACTGAATATGCAACACTCTGCTTCTACTATGATGCATGAAACTGGCTGCATGAGAGAGACCTGGAACTTCCGCTGCCATGCAAATAGATCAGCCTTCTCTTTATATGTTTTACATGAAGTGTGCGCAGCGCTTGTAACACATACATGAGTCATAAAGTGTCTATATTTTTAAAAATGTCACCAACAATATGCAGTAAAAGACCTTTTTGCATGGAAATGGACTTCCTGTTTGGGGTCCTGATCATTGTGTCAGCTTTTATGATGCGGCTGTTGGTTGATTAGTAAGTTTATAACAGCAGTCAGTAGATATTAACATAGGAAACCACATAAAACAAAACTCCAACCAAAGCTCCTCCGACACCATCAGTGAGCTGCAGGTGTAGCCGGAAAACATATAAATTCCGCTGCACATCTGCATGCATGCGACCAAAGAGTCGGAATCTTTTAAAAAGTCCTAAATTTAACAACCAAGTCGGCTGGTGGCGTTAATGGTAGTTATGGAATGTTTTTTCAATCTGATTGCAGGCTGTCAGAAGAGGTTATTCTCCCGTTAATTACCGACTGACACCGCGATCTCGAAGCAGCTATTAATCTGAATCGGCGGCGGTGTCAAGAAGCCCTTAAAAAAGCAACAGATTTAATGTGGCGAACCCCGATTGGGTCTCAGACGTGTTGCGCTGACGATATTTAAAAGATTTATGTGATTAAAAGCCTTCTGTTCCCGTCTGTGAGCCAAATTCTGTCAACAGATGATGAAGTATACTTAAGTGTTACCACTGAAGGGGCTGATACGGCTTTTTTTTGTGTGTAATTGAAGAAATGCGCAGCGTTAGATTGGCCCAGCAGGAATCAGAATTTATACACTTTAGTGTGTTTAGATAGAATGCAGGGAATTGTGACAGCAGCTACAATCACTGTCAAGACCCCACATCTACCACTGAACGTAAAACATTTCACGGAAAATGAACTGAAGGCTTTGAGCAGAACAATATGCGTAGTATGTAATGTGCGAAATATACAGTATAGAGACCATGCAGTGTGAAAAAAAATTAGAAAATCTGTCATGTAAAAAATATACAGTGTGCAAAAAAATTACCTTTGACACTTTAAATTTAGAAAAACGCCTGAAGAGCAGATTGATTTATGCAGACGAACCTGTTTAAAGTCTGAAATCTCTGTTGAATCGAGAGAAAGTTTCATCAATTTCAACCACATCTCCTGTTTTCATTCTTAAAATGACAATAAAATGATGTTTCAGAACCCACAGCAACGAAACAAACACAAAAATATCCTCAAAAATCAATATATCAACTCGGCATATATCCAGCATGTGTCCAATTCATTTTATTTCCTTTTTATCTATTTGCCTACTTGCTGTGAGGAGACAATGCTCATCACTGTTCTTTTAACACATTTTCATAAAATAAAAAAGTTAAATAATAAACTGGGACTTGAAGTTTCACAATTTAAGATACACATTGAACTAGTTAAAAAATGTGAAAGCTGTTGAAGCTTGGTGGATCAGAGGAACATTTCTGATATCAACTGATATTAATAAGTTTAAATATCTATTTAAATGCATTGAACATCAATATGAAAATGTCACACCAGTCAGAGTTAGTTTAGACAGACATTTGTAGGTCCATCACCAATAAATAACTACATTTAACAGAACTAGGTGAACATTTTAAATCTGATTATATTATGAAAACACAATTCTACACTAACATATGCTTTAAACACATCTTACTTTCTGCCTAAAGTTGGAGTTTACATGTTAGTTAGAGCATCTCAGATACACAGTCTTCCAATGTTACAGCATTTCACCTGTTTTTTTTTGTTTTTTTTTAATGTACTCAAAGTTATTCGGTGGATTTAGTGTCTGACTATTAAAGTTACACTCCCTAGATTAATCTCAGGGCCTGGAAGAAGTTGGTTGCATATTTAGAGGAAAAATTAATGAAGTTTCACTTTACCAATCCTTAAAAAATGTCTCTTTATCATCGTTGATCTTGTACAGGATTCTCCTTATCTGAGCTTACAGCAATTTAAATGGAATAGATTCACCAATTCTCCAATTTTTAACACTGAAATGTTGATATTGTTCAATCTGTTTAATTATATATATATAAAAAAAAGTATCTTAGAGTTTTTCTCCTATTAAATGATCAGTTAAAAAGGTCTTTCTACATTTGATTCTGTGGTGATTTTGAGTATAAATGGACGCCCTTTGGATTAATTTAACTTTCTCAGAATCTCCCAGGTATAAGTTGGAATCTTGCCTATCATGACTGTATTTTTCTCTCTTTTCTAGGTGGCAGACCTGGAGTGCAGAGTGGAGGAGCTGAAATCTGAACCTTTATAAAAGCCTTTTTTTTTTTTTTTTNTCTGGTCGACAGCTCAGTGCAGACTTCACATCAACCACCTGGAGCTGCTAGTGGTTTTCTTAGCTCTGCAGTATTTCTGTCGAGATCTGACGGGCCAGCATGTTCTGATCAGAACAGACAACACAACGGTGGTTTCTTATATAAACAGGCAGGGAGGAACCTGAGAATGGAGATTACACCCACAGGTGGTGGCTCAGATATGGGAACGGTTCGGCAAGGCAGAAGTGGATCTTTTTGCATCCAAAGCGAACATGCACTGCCCTCTGTTCTTTTCCATAACAGACCAGAGTGCACCACTGGTCATGGATGCACTCGCTCACCCATGGCCCAACGTGCTCCTGTATGCATTTCCCCCAGTGGAACTGAGACTGCCTGCACTGGAGAGGGTGCATCAGCAGGGCCTGTCCATGATCCTGGTGGCCCCTCAGTGGCCAGCGAAGTCATGGTACACAGAGATAATCAGTCTGCTGGCAGCGAGGCCCTGGTAGCTCCCTGTCTGCAGGGATCTCCTCTCTCAAGCGAGAGGAGAGGTGATTCACTCGCCCCCAGAACTGTGGCGGCTGCATGCCTACCTGTTGAAAGGTCCAATTTATTAGCGAAGGACCTGCCCCCTGAAGTGGTGGCAACAATTCAGAGTGCACGGGCGTCATCCATGAGAGGTCTGTATGCATATAAATGGTGGGCATTTGAGCAGTGGTGCCAGAACTGTAATGCTCTATTGTGGACGTTTTGACTTTTCTTCAAGAGCTGCTGGATAAGGGTCTCTCCTCCACAATAAAAGTTTATTTAGCAGCTATATCTGCCTGTCACGTTGGTTTTGATGGTGTGACGCCAGACGCTCATCCTCTTGCTATGCGCTTCTTAAAAGGGGTCTGCCGGCTGAGGCCCGCGTTAGATCCAGCGTCCCTTCATGGGATCTGTTACTGGTGCTTGAGGCCTTTTGTGATCCTCCATTTGTACCTATTGAGTCTGTTGATATGAAATTTCTTTCATACAAGACTGCTTTGCTTCCCGCTTTCTGCTCTGCAAAGCCAGTAGGCGACCTTCATGCCTTGTCGGTGCATCCCTCTTGTACCCAGTTCTCCTGCGATGGCTCCAAGGTTACAATACACCCAAATGTGGCGTATTAACCAAAGGTCATCCCTGCAGCTTACAGCTCTATGGCCCTCGAGCTCTTGAGCTTTTGCCCCCCTCCTTTTGCATCTGAGCAGCAGAGGAGGTTGCATTCGTTGTGTCCTGTGCGTGCTCTATACACCTGTATTGACCACACTCAGATTATGCGTTCATGTGACCAATTATTGGTCTGTTTTGCTAATCCAGCCAGAGGTAAGGCCCTGTCCAAACAGCGGCTTTCTCACTGGATTGTGGAAGCAATTTCCCTGGCCTACGGCGATGTTGGCCATTGATAGTGTGCTGACCGGCATTTTTGCGATAAATTCAC